GCAGAGAGCCGTGACAGGATCGAGAAGTGAGCGAACGCCGGTATGTGTTCACTCACTTCCCGATCTACTAAGCCGACCTGTGACAGTCTCATTGTCACAGGTCGGCTAGAACTATGAGGTGAGTGAAAAGCACTCTGCTGCATCACTCTCCTCCTCTCCCATCCGGTGATCGGGACGGTGCATGCGTCCGCCCATGCGCCTGCCGACACTTCCTCCTTCACAGCATTCGAGAGCTGGGAGCGAAAAATAAAATGAGCAGAATAATGATGATTCTAATCATAAGAAAACCTAAACAGATAGAATTCAGCAAGAAAATGTCTACTCTTTACAATCCATCTGTCAACACTGCCATTGACCAGACAGTGATGAGAAAAGTAGCAGAGAGGTGTTTTCTCAGAAACCATAACTGCACTACAAGGGTTAATCTCTGTGCCTCTGCCTCTTCTGGTCTAATTTTTCATAGAATCATACTTGTGAGGAAATTACATTTTTCACATTGGCTAAAATGGAGTACATGAATTATGAACAATTTGGAATTTACTTTGTGCAGCATTAGGAATATAGAGACTACAAAGAGGTGACTGTACATTAGAAGCTTCTGCACAAAAATACATCATTATAATAATACCTATTGCAGCTTCAGTTATAATTAATGACAACATTTACATCACTTTCTGATTGAGTAACTATGTATTTTAGTAGTGCAAACACAAGGAATAAACTGGAGCAGTGGGTTGCAGTGTTTTATGAACTGTTTCTAGATAAAGGCTGTTTCTAGATATAGAGAGGGCTGGACAGATAGAGAAAAGCAATCCTATTGGCATTAATCTCCCAAAATGTACATTCCACAAATTAGGAAGGTGCTAGTCTGCTGGATCATTAAGTACTGGAAAACATTTTTATTTTTAAATCAACAATTGAATTTCCTTATTGGTACCTCAAAATAAAAAAATAAAAATTCAGCAAATATAATTCATACCCTTTGTCATAGAGTTAACAACTCCAACATATATTTTGCTAAAAAAACAACTATTGGTGTTATGTAAAGGGTGAGCAGTCCATAGAGATGCTGTTCTTTTATGGTAAGAGCATAAGGTTGGCATATACATCCTTAACATGTGAAAGAATCAATTAACTTGCAAGAAAAGAAGAAATATAATCCATCCTTGCAAAACATACAGCATCTTGTACTAAAAGTGTACTTAAATGTCCGATTTCTAGCACAGCTTATTACATTCACCTTGTGTCTTTTCCACAATCCAATTTTTAATCCAACGGACATTTTTATAGCTTATTATCAATACTTTATTCATGGGGGGACTCGCCACTCTTGGCAAACAAGTATGGAGATAGAGCTGGCTCAGAATAAATTAGAAAGGAGAGACCTTGTGGATATGCACAAGAGCAAAGTGATAAATCATTTTCCTTTCACTAATACAAAGTTTCAATTAAGTGTAATCAAAAGCACTGAACGTTCATCAAAAAAGGAGATCATTCACTTTCCAGATAAGGTTAATTCAGTTTTATTCCAGCCAAGCTCATATGGAAATCCAATGTCACAGTTCAAGACCCGCTAAGCCTTGTTTGTGTGCTGGGATGTCCTATCTCCCTGAACAAACAAGTCATCAAATATACTTATCGCTGCCTTTCAGCCCTATATCATTCTCCGACTACCATTCTGCTACGTGCTTAGCAGCCCGCTCTGTGTTTAGACTGTTAATGACCAGCGGCTGTTCCTGTCCAAGTCAGCAGAGGAGAAAAGAAATATACCCTATAAATCTGGCTTCCTGACATCTAGAGCTTTTAGGAATGGAATAAAGTATGCATCATTTAGGAAGTGTAATGCATGATATGAAGATTTGTGTATGCTTGCATGCTCTGTCACAGGGCTGGAGTGAATCTTTTCAAAAGACAGTCTTGTACTACTCAAAGATTAAGATTCATTATTCTAACTGAAAAAGGAACACACATTCTACTTTAAGATCAGGTATGATGAAACAAAAAGAAAATGCTTATTTCTATCATTTTAAAATGTAAGTCCTCCTTTGCTATGTCTTGAAGCGAATCTGTGCTTCACCCATCCAAAGAAAGCCAGAAGGTTCTCTTTAACAAAAAGAGCAAAGAGAAGAAGCACTGTATACAGTGTGGAAAATAATGATTTGATTTTCTGCAGATTTTGTAAGTTTGCCCACTTAGCCCTGGTTCACACCTATGCGACACCGTTTTTTGCGCGTTAGCAGCATGCGGTTATTTTGGCGTTTATGTGCATTCTGCACATTTGTATGCGTGTTAACGCGCGTACATGAAGATGTGCGTTTTGATTGGCAGCTCATAAACCATTGTGGGCAATGGAAGAACGTGCATATAAACGTGCAAAACTGCTCACGAAAATGTGCACTTCCAATGAAGTCTATGGGGAGGAAAAGCACTTTTAACTGCCCAAAGAAGCTCCTGTATCTTTTCAGGTGTCTGGCATTTTCCTGCTAGGAGTTTTTCTGCCTAGGTGTGAACCAGGCCCATGAATCATGGGATTTCATGGGATTTCTTGTGTTGGGCAGTTAAAGGCGCTCTTCCAATAGCTCAAAAATGCCTAGGTGTGAACCAGGGCTTACAAAGAAATGAAAGGCCTATAATGTTTACCATAGGTGTATTTTAAATGTTAGAGACAGAACATCAACCAAAAATCCAGAAAAACACATGACGCAAATGTTATGAATTGAGTTGCAGTTCAGTGAGTAAAATAAGTATTTGATCCCCAAGCAAACATGACTAAGTACTTGGTGGAGAAACTCTTGTTGACAAGAGGTAAGACATTTTTTGTAGTTCGTTACCAGGTTTGCACACATCTCAGGATGGATTTTGGTCCACTCTTCTATAAAGATCTTCTCTAAATCCTTGAGGTTTCTTGGCTGTCGCTTGGCAATTCGAAGTTTCAGCTCCCTCTATAAATTTTCTATAGGATTAAGGTCTGGAGAATGGCTAGGCCACTCCATGACCTTAATGTGCTTCTTCTTGAGCTCCTGCTTTGTTGCCTTGGCGGTATGTTTTGGGTCATTGTCATGCTGAAAGACCCATCTTCAGTGTTCTGGCTGAGGGAAGGAGGTTCTCATCCAAGATTTTACAATACATGGCCTTGTCCATTGGCCCCTCAATGCAGCAAAATCAGCCTGTACCTTTAGCAGAGAGACAGCCCCAAAGCATAATGTTTCCACCTCCGTGCTTGACTGTAGGGATGGTGTTCTTAGGGTCATAGTCAGCATTTTTTTTCCTCCAAACACAGCGAGTCGAGTTAACGCCAAAGAGCTCAATTTTGCTCTCATATGACCGCAGCACTTTCTCCCAATCCTTCTCTGAATAATTTAAGTTTTCATTGGCAAACTTCAGACGGGCCTGTACATGTGCCTTCTTGATGAGGGGGACCTTGCGGGCGCTGCAGGATCTCAATACATGGCGGTGTATTGTGTTACCAATGGTTTGTTTGGCGACTGTAGTCCCAACTGCCTTGAGATCATTCACAAGCTCCTCCCGTGTAGTTCTGGGCTGATCCCTCACTTTTCTCATGATCATCCTTACCCCATGAGGCGAAATCTTGCATGGAGCTCCAGACCGAGGGCGATTGATGGTTATTTTGTATTTCTTCCATTTGCGAATAATCGCGCCAACAGTTGGAACAAGCATGGAACAAGCATGTTGGAAATAGGGCTGCAACTAACAATTATACAGCACATAATGCAGAATTATAGTATCATTCTGCATTTCTGGGATCTATAGTCCTCTATAGCTGATGGTATTATCATAATACCATCAGCTATAGAGGACGACAAATCCCAGCAATACATTATACAGCAATGCAGAATGGCACCGGCTATAAAGGACTAAAATTCCAAGCAAAATATTTTACAGCAATGCAAAATAATACCATCAGTTATAGAGGACTACAAATCCCACCAATACATTATACAGCAATGCAGGATGGCACCGGCTATAGAGGACTACAAATCCCAGCAATACATTATACAGTATTGCGGAATACAATCAGCTATAGAGAACTATATAGTTACATAGTATTTGAGGTAGAATAAAGACATAAGTCCATCAGGTCCAACCTATTGATGTATATAGGTCCATGTTTGATCTCCTTCTTAGGAGTACTTGTACCCCTGTATATTACGGTCTCTCAGGAAATCGTCCAAAAGTTTCTTGAACAATTCCACACTCTTAGCTGTAATCACTGCCGGTGGCAGTGAGTTCCAGACCCTAACCGCTCTTACTGTGAAGAACCCTCTTCACAGTAAGCAAATCCCCTTCACAGTAATACAAATCCCAGCAATACATTATACAGTGATGCAGAATTATAGTATATGAATTTGCTACATACTCTGTGCTTCCGCTCTGCTCCGTGGTGCCAGCCTAATGTCTCGGGCGAAGGGTCTCAGGAGGGGTGTGGTAAAGTGCCAGTATTGGTTTTTGGTATTGGGGCATTTTCAGGAGTACTTGTGAAAATGCCCAATATCGGCAACGATACTAGTACCCCATGCATCCCTAGTGCAAATCAATTAATTAATGATGAGAATCGTCGACAACAATTCTCATTATCGATTAATTCGATTAGATGATTCAGAGTGTCAGGCCTCATTACCGCAATAATCCCAAATAATCACTTCTGAAGTTCGTGTTCAGCTGTTCAGCTTAACGGGGTAATCATTTCATCTCTTAAAAATAGAGAGAAACCATGTGCAAAATATATGGTATACATGTTCAATGCACAAGTTATCCACATTGTGGAATGCTGATTTATTTTGTACAGAATTTAACGTGAACACACGGTAGATGATGGAGAGCAATGTCACAGTTGTACGTAATGCATGCCCTGCAGTTAAACTGCTGGAACCCATAAACTCCACTATCAGTCTTCTTCAGCATGGATACTATATGCAAGGTATTTTTTAAAAGTGAGGAAACAGGAAGTGAATAGTTAAGTAAAAGAACTTCAACCATACCTCTGAAAAACGTTCAAGAAGAGAAGATGGTAAAAAATCGTGGGGTTGTGAATGAACTGGGGGTCCAGTCCAATTGCTCTGGACAAACAAATGAAGGCAGCTAACACCCAACAGGAATACCAATAGTTGCCTGTGAAAGAAAGGAATATTAGCAGTTAAGGTAGGCAGCTATAATGTAATAGAAATCATAGAAATCATGTAACAATTACTATAAGTCACTGACAGTAGTTAGACTAGATTGAGCGTATAGTCATAATGGCCCTTTTTATTACAACACTACAAGATTTGATAAATCCAAATTGATCTTAGTTTAAAAAGCCAGAGAACAGGATTGGTGAAATTTTTGCCCATTTGACTCTGCATTTATTGCAGAAGAGGCATAGTATGTATTTTCTGTAATAAAAAGATACTTCCTGCTTGCCAACTTACTTTTTTGTGCTAAATTTCCCCTTTAAGTAATTTTATTACATTCTGTCTCCATTTCGAGTGATCACTACTTGTTCTGGTGAACACACAATAAAAAATCCCTAAAAATGTTTGTAAAACTTCCCCACTATTCAAAGAAAAAAAAGAAAGAAAACAGAAAATATCAAAATGCTAGGCTAAAAACGTGTACGTGCCTACAAATGCACGTCAACATGTGCAAAGCGTGCATAAATGTACAAATAACCGAGTACAAACACGCAAAAAAGATGCTGCCTTGCTGTGAACCTGGCCTTTACACAATGTATGGACAGGGTGTTTTGCCCCGTTTTAACTTTAATATTTTTTTGTTTTTTTTAAATTCTGTAATTTTTCCTTAATATAGTAAAAAATAAAAACCCCAGTGGTGATTAAATACCACCAAAAGAAAGCTCTATCTGTCCCCAAAAAAGGGTATAAAATTCATTTCAGTACAGCATTGCATGACGGAATAAATGTCAGTCAAAGTACCGCAGCGCTGAATACTGAAAAATGGCCTGGATGGGAAGGGGGTTTAACACCGCAGATGTCAACTGGTTAAAATGGGCTTACAGGTGCAGTCAAGTGCGTTTGCATGTGTTTTTATGCCTTTTTGATGCATTTCCATGTGTTCCAGTGCATTTCAGACCAGAGAAAATGAGACAATCAGTATTTTTTTCCCTCTGTACCGGAACAGACTACACTGGTGTGAACAGAGCCCAGAAAAACCATAGGGATACATTGGGATGCTTTTTTGGTCCAGGAAAAAGTGTTCTGGTCTGGACATGGTGTAAATAAGCCCCTAGGACAGAAATGTGTGGATTGAGTTTCTCTCATTAACATACAATGCAAAAGCCAGGGTTTTAATCCCTTGTCACTTTTGGTAGGACAGTCAGTCTTCAAGCCTACTTTACAAATTATAATGAAATGATCCAGCACAGTACAAACAGGGTTAACAGAAACCCCGTGCAGCCCCTCTTAACATTACAAAGAAGGAGAAGAAAGTAGAATTTGAACCTTAGTAGAAACCCTAAACCAAGTAAACTCAATTTAAAGTGCAAGTATTTTTTTTATTTTTTAGTTTATAGTATGTGAATGGGAACAATGTAACAAAGATAAAATAGGTGTTATCCCCATTTGGCTGCAAAAGTGGAAATACACTTTAAGTAGCAGAATTCTATAGCATTAGATAAACTAAACACAGCCAACAAGCACACAGGCATAACATTATGAGGACATTTAAAATTGTGAATGTAACAGCTTTAGTTTAACCAACACAAGTTTCACACTGATTATGTATTTTTACCAGTTACACTACACAAATGTTGCACACGGTATGAACCAGACAGCTATGAAATAAAGTTTACCTGTCATTATTCAGCTCTGTGGGAGAGTCCAGGAATGTAGAAATCTGTCTCTCCAGGTAAAAGTCCAATTTTTCATCTGGGTCTGGAACACTAAAGATTTCTTGCATCAATGGACTGAGTACAATAGCCTCATAATTGCCTTCAAAAAGTAGCTCTAGCAAGGATGTGATTTCTGCTGAAAAAAAGCATAGTATGAAAAAACCAAGCCATACAAATTACTCTGCAATCGAAAAATCACTACATATTATCAAAACCAACTCAATCCAACAAAGAAAAAAAAAGGCAAGCAACTCAGAGTTCATGCCTTGATCATATTATCCCGAAGAAATAAAAGGTCTCTCTGCTTTTTTGCATTCAAAAGGTCATATAACATATATAATTTCTGCATATGCCTTTTTGTAATTTAATTCTAATAATAATTACCTTTCTATTTCATGCTGCAGCAAGCTATGATTTACTAAAACAAACATATAAAATGAAACCATGCTTCTCCTTGTATATATGCTCTGTACACTACTGCTGGACAAACCTCCCCAAGAATGCAAGTTTCAGATCATGCCGTTCCCAGTTTTTCCCCTATTACAACAGTGGGACTGATGAGGTGACTATAGCAAGACACCATCCGGCTTAGGTAGTAGGAAGCTAGCTTCAATACAAATAGTAGCATGTAAATCACATTACCTTCCAACAGAATGGTCCAACGCTGCAGAGGCAGGCAAATTACTCAGTACTAAAGGATGTTGAGCAGGAGATGAGATTCCTCCAACAACCAAATCCCCTGCACCTACAGGGTGCCCAGGACTACTCTACAGTCTGACAGATGGGTCAACCTGGTCCTCAGTGCAAACCAATTGATCTGTCCAGGGATTGGAATGACTTGTCTTACGACAAAAGTACATTGCATTGTAGAGGCCTAAATTGAAACTGGGCAAATAAGAATGCCTTGAAGGAGACTACTAACAGGCTCTCTTGCATTAAGGCCGAGAAATTAAAAACTCTTGGACTGGAGTGCTCAAATCTGAGATCGAAGAGTCTAAAATTGTTTATGAAGAAGAAACACTCTGGTCTAAGCTATTTGAGGACTAGACCCAGATCTCCAAATGATGAGTAGGCTCCAGCAACAATTTGTGATGATTCAGGAGCCATCTGAACCACTGTTAAGCCATATGTCTGATGGGCCTGCCCCAAATGCTTTCTTAGCAAGATAGAAGAGAAAAGAAACTAAACTAGAGGTTCTCAAGAAGAAAGCAGAGTGAAGAACCAAAGGCACATTCCCTCACAAAATGAGCATGCAAAGACTGTGCACCCTGCATCTTAGGCTTCTTCCCTAGTGGAAAATAGTGCTTTTTCTGCCACTAGTAGCATCCTAGATATGTAGTATCAAAGAGATCTAAAACTGATCCTAGGAGACATTGCCCCAAGACTATGCAGGTCAAACAAGAACGGCTGCACCTGCTCCAGCACCTTAACCAAGGTGTCCAGGCATGAGTACTGACAAAAGAATCATGTGATAAAACCAGGAAGATTTTAGCAGACCTGGAAAGCTGAAATTAAAATTAACAGCCATTTTCCCAGTGGATCAAACACAGTAGTGAAGAGATTTCTTTAAAATGCATTTGACCAGGTACAATCCCAAACAGCATGTGGTGTTTCCAAATTTCATAGTGAAGTCTCTAAATAAAGGAAGACTTCATGATATGATTATTCCACTAATCCAACATTTTCTTTCTTCAGAGAGGGCATATTTTCCACATCTAATAATGAATCCCCAGATGGATCGTGACCAAACCGCACAACATGTCTCTGTTACAATAGGCAGAAGTAGGGGGGAAAAGAGGTTAGTTACCCATACAGGTTAAGACCCAAACAATAATCTCCACTGATCAGATGTACTACAATACCATGTACCCATAGGTACCGAGAAGGCCTGTAACAGGGTGCTAGCTAGTACTGTGCCCACAAAAAAAATCTCAGAGGGTACAGAGAAGTGTGGGAAAGAAATCCACTGATCGCTCAGAAGCAACAGGGTGAAACACTATATTGAGAAAACCGGAGTTACACTAAACTCAGGAGTTAAAGAAGAACTCCAGGATACACATCACTTTACATATTTATGCCCCCCTCAGTCAGAGGAAGCAAACTGCTGTAACAATTTATCATAAAAGTTCTTACTATTCTTGTAATCCTCGTTTTTAGCTGCCAGTGATGTGACATCCTCCTATTATTAGATGAGTCCTTCCTGCAGCCAGTGGGAGGATCTAGGTAACCAGTGCGTGTCAGATCCTGTCATAGAAAGCTGACATAGAAAATCTTCTATTAGGCATTGTAAAAAAAGAGGCTATGGTGAGATGGAAAAAGTGCAACAGATTCCTCCATCTACACTAAACTGTGTGGACGGAGGAATCTCCGTCCACACAGTTGGCCCACTATACTGAGGGCATACTGAAGCTTGGCCCCACTGGGCCAAGCTTCAGTATCTTGCTAGTCGGTTCTGCTTGCTGTCAACATACCTGAACTGAGTGGACGCAGGCATTGTTCAGGTATTTTGAGAGCCAGCGGGACCAACTAGCAAGATACTAAAGCTTGGCCCAGTGGGAGATTCCTCCATCCACACAGTTCAGCATAGATGGAGGAATCTTTTGCACTTTTTCCACCTGACCATAGGCTGAAAGAAAAAAATCTATAGAAGATCTGTAGCTGTATGGCCAGCTTTAGACTTCCCTACTGCACCCCTTGCAGTGTGTGCTGGCTGCAATAGAACTACAGGGAGAAGGTTATTAGACCACTGGCTGGGCTTATAGACTGCACAGTGGCTAGTGGTCTATAAGAAAGGAAATGAAGGAGGCAGAGGGCAGGAAGCACGGGCTTGTACACAAAAGTGTGCAACTATGTACGCACGTAAAAATGTGCAAAAACATGCTACACAAAAAACGCGCCGAAAATGCGCATATTCTATGTCGCTCAGGTGTGAATGATCGGGAGCTTCGAATGCAAGCCACCACAGCTCAGTAAACTGCGATACTGTGCGGGGACCTGAATGGAATGTACCCTATGTAAACTCCAAATAAAATTTAAAAAAGAAACAGTATGATATGCTGAGACAGTGCACCAGACCAGGGGCGTCCCGAGGCTGGGTGACATGCGGAGCGGTTACCGGGTGTCACCCTCCGACTCGCAGAGACGTCATCAAGCATGCACGGCAATCTTCTGATACTCGAGAGAGGAGGGGACAGTCACCCGGCGGGATAAGGTATGCCGCCGAGTCCTCTCTCTCCTGATACTGTCGGGGGTTTGGTCCGACTCTTCAGAGGAGGGTGACACCAAAATGACTATCGGTCATTTTGGTGTCACCCAGGTGCAGGCCGCACCCCTTTTGCGACGCCACTGCACCAGACCACCCACCGAAAGGACCCATCAGCATTTTAGCGGGTGGGCTTTTGTGAAGTGGCCTAATTCAAATCTTACCTGGTGGGTGGTATTTTCGTTTATTTTCGTAAATAATTTTCGTCATTTACAGATTGTAAGCCCTCAGGGGCAGGGCCCTCCTTACCATCTTGTCTTGAATTGTGATTGTAATGTCTTCCTTATATTGTAAAGCGCTTGCGCAAACTGTTGGCGCTATATAAATCCTGTATAATAATAATAATATTACAGCGACTGTGAGGTAAAACTTTGTTTCAGAACGACAGGAGGATGGAACAGAGTTAACCAGAGATGCATTGTCTGCTAGGACACATTTAGATCAGCAGAACTAAAAAAACTTGATTACAAACATTAAACCTATCTAGGCCTAAAGTTCACTCTGGGCCATCCAGTAAAAATAAATTATGGTTTATTATGGTAACTTAAGCATATGAATCTCCCAGAATTAAATGGTCCTATAACCTGAGTTTAAATAAATCTGGGAGGACCCTTTCATGTTATCTTTTAACCCTTTAATACCAAAGTGTACAGCCAAGTGGGGAGGATTCAGTATTTAATTTAGAATTTACTGAAGCCACTCGATCAGCATAATAGCCAGGGAACTAGTATTCTGAGAAGGAGAGGTCAACAATGGCAGTCACCATACTTCCTCAGTGCAGGTTTTCACTAAACCAGTGTCATATTGAATATGTTTTTAGTGTGTTTTGTTTTTGTAGTCGAAAGTGAACCAGTAAGACATTTGATGGGCTTCTTTTTTTGCTTCCCAGAGTACGATACAGCAAGAAGAAAATTATCTCAGCTCCAGCGACACCACTGGAGCCACCATCCCTCGAAACATTTTAATAAAATATTAAAGAAAAGTTCAAAAAAGGCAAGTAAAAATGTACCATTGCAGTGGGGCTACTCCCGCATTGCAAAGGTTAAGTGCTCGTTGTGGTCTGGGGGCTAGAATAAAACAGATTTACTTACTTGATCCTAGATTCTTCCAGGCTGCTAGACCAGTCCTCACAGCCTGGGCTCTGGCGGTCTGAGGACCACTGACGTCATTGCATCTCATGCAGGTCCAATGACCTGCATTAGACATGAGGACGCCAAGGGACGTTCAACAGTTGGAGAGGAGGGAGAGAGAGGGGAACGCAGACCGCAGCAAAACCGAAAATCCGGTAAGTAAATCTGCTTTATTTGAGTTCCCTAGACAGAACAAGCACTTAGCCCCACAGCAAAGGTACGTTTTTTTTTATTTGCCTGGAGTTATTTTTCAATTAATAAATCTGGCAGCATAGGGCACAGCTATCAGCATATCAGCTAGCTCTGGGTTGGATTTCAAATGATTTGCTTATCTTTACTATGTAATATCATTGTGAAAGGAAATAGGGTAAGCACCAAGGTTTATTTTTCCCTAAAATGTTGTGCTAAGGTACATACCAAGCTGTAAAAAAGAAAATAATTATCCTATAAATAGCACTATGATAACACAACCATATTAATCAACCTCTGACGGTTACACAGACCTGTTCGCAAAGGATACTTTATAACAAGGTAATGGTCCCCAGGGTCAGCTCAAAAAATATAACATTATGACAACTTCAAGAGCCCTGGAATAATGTGCAACCATAATTCACAAATACCTGCTTAGCCAAGGCATGAGCAGTGTGCCTTGAAAAATGGCACTATAAAGAGAAACGTCTTGGAGCTATTTAAAAAAAGATGATGAAGAACAGATTTATCTGAAATGTGAGCGACTAAGGA